AAAGTGTAATATGCTATTTTAAAATGCTACTGATAGGTAGAATTAATGGAAATTGTTAATTATTGTCTTTATCAACATTGAGGTTGTGAGTGACTTTTACAAGAGTAGTTGGGTGGACTGGTAGTCTGAAAGCCTGATTAGTGGTTTTCAATAAGAATGCAGAAAAGAAAGCCTCGTGTGGTGGCATATACTTGTAATCCCAGCAGCTCAGCTTCTGAGGCAGGAGGATCACAAGTTCAGAGTCAGCCATAGCAACTTAGAGAGGTCCTAAGTTCTCAGGAACTTAGACCCTGTCTCAAAAAAAAAAAAAAAAAAMAAAAAAACAGGGCTGGGATATGGCTCAGTGTTAAAGCACCTATGGGTTCAATCCCTGGTACAAAAAGCCAGAAAGAAATTAGAGATGGTAATTTAATAATTGTATAGGAGTTGAGCATAACAATATGCAATATGCTAAGACTAGAGGAACAATGGAAAGGGAAAAATTAACGAGTAAAAAGAGGAAATTCTGATTAAGTTTTATCAGTAAAATAGAAAGCTACATTATTTGTTGAGAGCGTTCATGAAGAAGAAACCATTGGAGGTTTGAAGAGAAAGGAAATGGTACAAAACCGTCTAGAAGGATGAGAGAAAACAGTGAATTATTTGTCAGGCAGCTTTAATACCTCACTTGAGAATATTCATAGTTATAGCATGCCAGAGTGCATTTCAGTTTTGAACAAAGTCTRTGAAAACATATTCTCTGAGACCAGACATACCATTAAATGTAAAAACTGGGCTGGGGCTGGGGTGTAGTTCAGAGGTAGAGTGCTTGCTTTGCATGGGAGAGGCCCTGGATTCAATCCCAACTACCACAAAAAAAGCCGAACTAAAATAACAAAAAAAATGGGCTGAGGATGTAGATCTGTGAGTCCTTCTATTCTTTCCTCAGCACCACAACAAAAAAATGACAAAAACCACCTGACTTGTATTTTTATGTTTTTAATAGTGTATTGATTTATCTGTTTACTCAGATCTTCAAAATAATGCTCATATTCCATTTCAAATTATTTTTTGCAGGCGTATAAAGCAGTTGTAAATGATGCTACTATATTTAAACTTGAATTACCTTTGAAGCAAAAAGGGTAAGCCTTTAAAAACCATATTTAAAAATATTTAAATTGCTTGGACTGTATTACTTGTTACTAGGTCAGCAGAGTACTCTACTTCCCTATTAGGTTTGTTTTTATTGTTGTTTCTCTTAGGATTCTTGATGTCCTTGGTTATTAAAACTCTTCAATTTATATTTTTTTTATTCTTCTTTTATGACAAAATATATTGTCTTTATCTTTTGAAGTAGAAAATGTTGTTCCTAATCTTTTAGAATCTCTACTTGATTATTTTCCCTTTGTTAGTCACTAAAGGTATTCTATTACATGGAAAGTCCAGAAAATGAGGATTCACTATAATGATATAAAAAGGGAAATCAAGCCAGGCATGATGGTACATGACTATAATCCCAGCAACTCAGGAGGCTGAAGCAGGTGAATTGCCAGTTCAAAGCTAAGACTGGCTTAGCAACATTAAGCAAYTTAGTAAGACCCTGTCTGAAAATAAAAGGGTTGGGGATATGGCTCAGTGGTTAAGCGCCCCTGGATTCAATCCCTGGTACCAAATAAAATAAATAAAAATTAAAAGGGAAGTCATTTTTTAATTTATTTTAATTTATTATATATGACAGCAGAATGCATTATGATTAATAGTACATATATAGAACATATTTTTTCATATCTCTGGTTGTATACAGAATATATTCATACCATTCGAGTCTTTATATGAGGGTAATGGTGTCCAAGTCATTCTACCATCTTTCCTACCCCCATGCTTCCTCCTTTCCTCTCTCACCCAGAAAATAATTTTACTGTAGGTTGTATTATCATTTTTAAAATTTGATCTCTTTGATAGAGCACTTGCCTGCTATGCATGAGGCTCTGTCTGGATTTGATCCCCAGAACATGCGCGTGCGCACACAGACACACACACACACACACACACACACACACACACACACTTTGGTAAGATGAATTTACATATGCTATGTATAATTTCAGAACATCTGAGAATTGAAATTTATGAAATATTATTCCATGAACTAGTTATAGTCCCTTCAGAGTATAGTACTAAGTTGCAATAAAGGTTAAAAATTTTTGATACACTTTCTAGTTGCTAATTACTATTTTAAAGAAAATGTATATATAATGCCAAAATATTTGAAAAGTACCATTTTTTATTTTTATTTTTTATTTTAGTTGTAGACGGACACAATATCTTTATTTTATGTATTTTTATGTAGTGCTGAGGATTGAACCCAGTGCCTTACATGCTAGGCAAGCACTCTACCACTGAGCCACAACTACAACCCTGAAAAATAACATTTTTTTAAGGAAAAGTAATTGGAGTTTTTTACTTTAATCTTTTCATTTTTTCCTTTTTTGATCTACATAGGTTGAATAGTATTACAGTAGAAGACATCTGAGCCAGGTGCAGTGGTACACACCTGTAATCACAACAATCTGAAAGGCTGAGAGGCAGGAGGATCATGTTTGAGGGCAGCCTCAGCAACTTAGTAAGGCCCTGTCTCAAAAGATAAAAAAAGGGCTRGTGATATGACTCCATGATAAAGTGCCCCTGGGTTCAATCCCCAGTACCAAAACAAACCAAAAAACAACCGAAGATATCTGAGTCATTTGTTCTATGATAGTAGGTCACATTCTCTTTTAGCAATTATGAAATATATGAAACATTATACTACATCTTTGTGATAACTATGTGTGATTATATAGATTTTCCTTACTCTCCTATACTCAAGTGTTTTTTGGTGAAAGATTCAAACTCGGAGTAAAGTTACTATAATTGCTTTACCAAATATATATCTCCCTACATACATCCATCAGTCAACTTCATACATTGATAATCTTACTCCTTGAACACATTAGCATGAACTCATTAATTAAATTTGATATTTGTTTTGAGGTAAAATTTACATAGACATTTGCATACATCTTAAGTGTATAATTGGGCCAAATTTAACAAATGCATACTCCTATTAAGGTATACAGTATCTCCATCATCTTAGATCATTGCCTCATATCTATTCCCTGTAAGTTTCACCCTACTTCCTCTCAGAGGCAGCTGTTGGTCTAATTATTTCAGTATAGATAGGTTTTGTCTGATATAAGACTTCATATAAATGAAATCATACAATATGTGCTTTTTGTATATAAAACTTCTTTCATTCAGCATTGTCTACGAGATTTTTCCATTTTTTAATGTAACAGTTTGTTTTCCAAAGAGATTGTACTCTTTTACACTTTCACCAACAAAGTGTGAAAGTGCCATTTGATCCTCATTCTCATCAGTGTTTTGGTAATGTCATTTTAATCTTAGTCATTCCAGATGTATGTAGTTGTATCTCATTACAGATTTTTTTTTTACATTTTTAAAATTTTGTTTTTAGATGTAGTTGGACACAATATTTATTTTTATGTGGTGCTGAGGATCCAACCCAGTGCCTTACACATGTGAGGTAGGTGCTCGACCAATGAGCTACAGCCCCAGCCCTCATTATAGTTTTGATACCCCTCTCCCTCATGTTACTGATGTTAAGCAAGTGTGTGTGTGTGTGTGTGTGTGTGTGTGTGTTTCTTTTTTTTTTTTTTTCTTGTTGCTTTCTGTATCTTGGAAATCTTTTTCTGCTTCAACCTTAGGACATGAAGATGTTCTTTGTTTTCTTCTAGGAACTTTATAATTTAGCTTTTACAGTTACATCTAAGATCTATCTTAAATTAATGGTTGTGTATGTTGTAAGTTAGAGATTAAATTTCTTTTGTTTACTTTTTGTTTACCATATGGTTAGTAAGTGGCCTCAGAACCATTTATTGAAAAGACTTTCCATTCCCCAATACATTACCTTTCCATAAAAACCTTAGGTGACTTTAAAATGGTCATCCATTTCTGGGCTTTCTGTTCAGTTYCAGTGATTTATTTGGGTTCTTTAGGCTATTATCACATAATCATGATTAGTATAGTTCTATAGTAAATCTTGAATCTAGGTGGTATAATTTTTTTCTCCCCCCACCCCAATTCATTCCCAATTCATGAAGGATTTGCCTTTCTTTCTGGTCTTTGTAGCTTTTATGGTTTACTTTTTAATAATGTTTGTAATATCTGGTATCATTATGTTGGCCTCATAAGGATTGGAAGTTACTCTCTCCTGTATGTTCTGAAAGAGTTAGTGTAATTGTAATTGGTATTACTTCTCCTTAAATGTCTGGTAGAATTCGTAAGTAAAACCATTTGGGCCTGAAGTTTTCTAGTGGCAAGTTTTTTTTACTATGAGTTCAATTTCTTTAGTAGATAAAAGGTCTTCATATTTTGCAGYTAATCTAGTTATTTGGTTAAGTTAGATTTTCAGGAATTTACTCATTTCTTCCTAGTTGTCAAATGTGTATATATGCATAAAGTCATAACTACTGTGCCCTTATTATCTGTTTCTCATAGCAAATACTGAAAATACTGTTTCTAGAATCATTTGAGAGTAAATTGTTTATCATTCAGTATATTAGTATAAACATAATCACAAAACAACTTCCAGAATCAGGAAATTATGATACATACTGCAGTGTAATTGTCAGACCCATTTAAATTTTATGAATTGACCATATATGTTTTTCCAGCAAAGATATTCAATACAGAATTATGTGTTGTTTTTATGTTGTCATATTTCTTTGATCTTTCTTGGTCAGAAACCAGCTCTTTCTTTGACTCTTGTAACCTTGTCCTTTTGAAGAATACAGGCCAGTTTTTTATAGTGTTCCTTAGGTCGTGTTAATCTGATGGTTCTTATAAATGAGATTCAGGTTTGCATCTTTGGCAGAAGTAAAATTTTGTGCCAGGCATGGTAGTGCATCTCTGTAATCCCAGAGACTCAGAAGGCCAAGGCAAGAGGATCTCAAGTTTGAGTCCAGCCTCAGCAACTTACAAGGCCCTAAGCAACTTAGTGAGACCCTGTTTCAAAGTTTAAAAAGCTGGGATTGTGGGGATGTGACTCAGTGGTAAAGCATCCCTGGGTTAAATCTCTAATACCAAAAAAAAAAAGAAAAAAGAAAAAGTGAAACTTTGTTCTTATCTGAAGGAACATGATTTGTTTTACTCTACTACTAGACTTTACTTTGGTCATTTCATTAAGTTGATATGTACTGGATCTCCCTGCTGCAAAGGTACTCTTTTTTCTCTTTATATTTTTGGGTAGTACTTTAAAACTATGTAAAGATTCCATTCCTTAGAGGTGCTATGGATTAGACAGAGGGGACTGAAGGGCAGGGAGGAGCAATGGATATAGGAATGATGGTAGCATTAATGAATTGGACATTATTACCCTATGTGCATATATGATTACACAAYCTGTATAACTCTACATCATAAACAACCAGAAGAATGAGAAATTATACTCCATTTATGTATGATGCGTCAAAATACATTCTCCTGTCATATATGACTAACTAGAACAAATAAAAAAAATATACAAACCAAAATAAAAGATTCCATTCCTCATCAGATTTTTCATTTGTACAGTGATTTATCATATCAGTAGGGACTTATTTCCTATTTTGTTCAGTGGATTACAATTGATGGCCCTATATTTGGATTTTCAAATTATCTTAGATTTCTGTTGACTGACTGCCTTTCTTATATATACATAACATTTCCATGTATCTTTGCATCTTTGGTAGTGTTGGATTTTATCCTGAATGTGTAATGATATGTTGCACAGAATGGTTCCTGTTAGTTTGTTTGAACTGTCCTGATTGTTCAGCCAGAAAGTGAAGATTTCAATCTGAATTTTAGCTTCCCTGCAGGTGGCATTGATAGGATTGCCTCTAAGCAAAACTATCTACTTTTTGGAAATTTAACCAGTACCATTACTTTCTTTAAAGTGTAACTTTATTTAGAGATTTACCTATAGTGGATCACTATTCACTGTCTTCATGGCAGTTGTTTATTGGGGAAAAAAATCTCCAGAATTTATAATTGCTTTCTGGAGGAAGATTGGTATAATGCAAGTTTTCTGCTCATTCTCAAGTTGAACTTTTTCCTTGTTCTTTTTAAAAATTTATTGAAGCAACTTTAAACAAGTTAAAAATAGACATTTTAAGTTTTAAACTGAACAATTTTCTGGCATTTAGTACAATCACAATATTGTACAAGCATCATCTCTATTTAGTTCCAAAATATTTCTAACACTCTCAAGTAAAACACTTTCCAGAGCAATTTCTTGCATTYTGCCGTCATACCAGCCCCTGGCAACCACTGATCTGCATTCTGTCTCTATGGATATTTTGTGTAAATGAAGTTACACAATATGTGACCTTGTGTCTAGCTTCTTTCATTTATCATCTGTTTTTTTAATATTTATTTTTTTTAGTTGTAGTTGGACCCAGTACCTTTATTTCATTCACTTATTTTTATGCAGTGCTGAGGATCGAACCCAGGGTCCCGAGCATGCTAGGCAAGCGCTCTACCGCTGAGCCACATCCCAGCCCCGTATCACTGTTTTCAAGAGCTCTCCCTCCAAACATGTATTGGTACTTCATTCCCTTGTTTAACTAAATAATATTGTGGTATGTTTTTAACATGGTTTAGACCACAAATTTTTTTACCTCCTATCCCATGGATATTTGGGGTGTTTTCCCCTTCTGTGAATTTTGAGTAATGTTGCTTAGAAACATGAGTATCGTGTGCATGCACTTCTTGAATACTTCTGTTGGGTATATATCTCTGAGTGGAATTAATRAGTTCATATGGGAATTCTATATTTAACTTTTTGAGGAACTGCCATACTGTTTTTCATAGTGACTGAACTGTTTTACATTCCTATCAGTAATGTATAAGGAGTCTGGTGGTTAGAATTGCATTTCCCTAATACCAGCTAATGATTTTAAGCATCTTTTTATGTGCTTGTAGGTATTTTGGCATCAAATCCTTATCTGATAGATAATTTGCAAATATTTTCTTGGATTCTATAGTTAATTGTCTTTTCCTGCACAAAAGCTTTTCTTTCTTCTTCCTTTTCTCTGTGCTTCCTTTTCTCATGGTGGGCAAATAATCTGCTGAGCTCTACACCATCAGCCTGTTGTACAAAAGCTTTCAATGAAATTCTATTTTCTACTGTACAATTTTTTTTGTTGCTTTTGCTTATGCTTTCATATCTAAGAGTTCATTCCTAAATCCAGGTTTATGAAGATTCATCTTTACATTTCTAAGATTTTTTTGGTTTAGGTCTAGCCAAGTATGGTGGTGCACTCCTGTAATTCCAGCGACTCAGGAGACTGAGGTGGAAGGATTGCCAAGTTCAAGGCCAGCATCAGTAATTTAATGAGGCCTAAAGCATCATAGTGAGACTCYGTCTCAAAAACATAAAGAATAAATGCAAGGCTGGGGCTGTAGCTCAGTGTTAAAGTGCTTGCCTCACATGTGTAAGGCACTGGGTTTGAGCCTCAGTACCACATAAAAATAAGTAAAGATACTGTGTGTTTATCTACAAATAAATATTTTTTAAAAAAGAATAAATGCAAGACTTCAAGCATGAAAGTATGATACTGGTTTTCAAATTTCCTCAGAAAAGGGAAATATACATATAAATTTTTCATTGTTTAGGAGAAATTTGGCTTTAGAAAAAAACTTGGCAAATATTTAAAATGGTTATTGGTAGCTATCACATCACTACAGAATATAGATATATTTCAAAAAGGAAAGTAATGGATTTATCTTAACATTAATAATGAAAAAATTTGTTAGGTTATTATTATCCAAGAACTTACATGGTTTTTCCTGTTTTAGCAGATATATGAATAAATCTTTGTATCTATATAAATAAAAGTATCTAAATAAAGATCATTGCAAGCCCAAATTAGGGTTAGACAAACAGGTACTGAGAGGGTAAAATTTAAGGAATTTCTTGTTCTCAGGGTCCTGTAGGAGTTGGGTGGCATTTACAGGACCCCAAGAGTGAATGCCTCCTTAAATTATGCACTCTAGATATCTTGCTCACCTTAGCCCCAATCCTGATCCCTAGATTATTGCACATAAGAATTTTGCTGTTCGACATAAAAAATTAGTTTCTGAAAAAATTGGCTTTAGAAAAAAAACTTTGCAAATATTAATCATTTTTCATCATCTGCTTTTGTTTTTCAGAGTGGGATTGAAAACTCAACCAGAATCAAAATGCCCTGAGTTGCTTGCCAATTACTGTGACATGTTGCTAAGAAAAACGCCATTAAGCAAAAAACTAACTTCTGAAGAGATTGAAGCAAAGCTTAAAGAAGTGGTATATAAATTTTTTCTATTTCTGATAGTTAGTTGTTTTCATTCTTTTATTATCTGCGTAGCATAATTGTAATAAGCCAGGGAGCAAAGAAGTGAAGCTAGAGGACAAGTATAGATAAAAAGGATCACAGAGATGACTAGTGTCTCAAAAAAAAAAAAAAAAAAAAAAGGGAAGGGTAAAGATAAGTAGAAAAGAAAATTGGGAAAGAACCATTGATTTTTCATGTGAAGAAATATTGTTGCATTTTATGTAAAGTCTGAAAAAACTGGTATTTCTTAAGACTAAGAGGTTATTTTGTTAGTTTCAAATTTGCTGACTTTTAAATCAGTGACRTATATCAGAACTGATTTTTCAGAGAAATAATTTAGTAGGCTTCTATTTTTGTGTGCTTATATAGATTTCAGAATTTTGACATTTAGGGGATATGGAAAGGCCTAAATGAGACAGATGGCTAAGAATATATAAGAATTGAAAGTATCTTTGCTTTCTGTGCAGCTCTTGGTACTTAAATACGTACAAAACAAAGATGTTTTTATGAGGTATCACAAAGCTCACTTGACACGACGACTCATATTAGACATCTCTGCCGATAGTGAAATTGAAGAAAATATGGTAGAGTGGCTAAGAGTAAGTAAATTTTTAAAAATATTTGGTTTTTAATATCGCACATGGTTCATATCTATGGTGATATTGGTAATGTTAAAGAAATAGTGATCTTTTAGTAAGAACAGAATATCTTGTAAAATAAAGTGATACCTACTAAAGTACATTTTCTTAATGAAGTTAGTAAAGCACCTTTGTTTCTACTGTTTTATTCCCTTTTGTATACACTCTTGCTAAAAATTACCTTATTAAATAGACCACAGGACAAATAATTTCTTTCTTTGTGATACCTGGGATTAAACCCCAAGCTYTGTGCATGCTGTGCAAGGGCTCTACCATAGAGCTACCTCCCCAGCCTTTTTTTATTTGAGACAGGGCTTTGAACATGTAATCCTCCTGCTTCAGCTTCCAGAGTAGCTGGGACCACAGGCATGTACCACCACACCCAGTAAATTATTTCATTTTTAAGGTATTTTTAATGCTAAATGTTTAATTATAGAGCTGTTTATAAATAAATAGCAACATACCAAGTGAAAGTGCATAGATGGAAAAATAATGATTGTTCTGTGACTTTTAAAAATTTTTTGTCAAAACTCTTATTGTCATAGGAAGATGAAAAAATAGCAAAACTAGTATGTGTTTAGTACACCAATTTAAAACACAAGAAACTTTTTATATTGAAGTATTTGTTTTCTTTGTAAAAAGCTTATCAGGGCTGGAGTTGTGGCTCAGTGGTAGAACACTTGCCTCGCACATGTGAGGTACTGAGTTCGATCCCCAGCACCACATTTAAAAAAAAAAAAAAAAAACCTAAATAAACAAAATAAAGTTATTTTAAAAATTCATCAAGTGGGGCTGGGGATGTGGCTCAAGCGGTAGCGCGCTCGGCTGGCATGCGTGCGGCCCGGGTTCGATCCTCAGCACCACATACAAACAAAGATCTTGTGTCTGCCAAATACTAAAAAATAAATATTAAAATCTCTCTCTCTCTCCCTCTCTCTCACTGTCTCTCACTCTCTCTTTAAAAAAAAAAAATTCACCAAGTGTAATTAGGAAAATATTTATAATTTATCTCTTGATACTGTATCTAGAATATTTTAAGCACTCTTAGAATATAACAACAAAATGTCAAATAACCCAATTAAAAATGGGCAAAGAATTTGAATAGACCTTTGTTTCTTTTTTCTCAGCATAGGGGATCGAACTCAAGGGCATTTGCTGGCCTCAAATTTGGCTATTTCCAGACTTAGCATCCCAAGTATCTGGGATTATGAATAGACATTGCTTTATAGAAGATAAATAAATGGACAGTAGTGCACACAAACATGCTCAGCATTAGTAACCATTAGTGAAGTGCTAATCAAAATCACTGAATATATCACTTTATCCCTACTATAATAGCTAAAATAAAAAATAGAGATGATAACAAATGTTGAGGAAAAAGAAGAGAAATTAGAACTCTGGTAAGTTGCTGGTGGGATTTAAAATGGGGCAGCCACTTTGGAAAACTGTTTGATAGTTCCTCAAAAAGTTAAACAGACTTGATGAAGCAATTTCACTGYTAGGTAATTCTACTCAATAGATATGAGAACATATACACATATCCATGTAAATTTTTGTATATGGATGTTCCTTATAATATTATTTAGAAATAATGACAAATGTTAATWAGCTGAGGAAGGAACAAAATGTTGTTTACTCAAACAGTGGAATATGACTTTTCAATAAAAGAAATGAAGTACTGACACATGCTAGAATTTGGATGTACTTAGAAAATATTATAATGCTGAAGTGAAAGAGGCCAGTCACAAACCATATGTCATATGATTCCAGTAAAATGAGATGTGAGGGTAGGCAAATCTAAAAAGACAAAAAAAGTACTTTCAGTGGTTTGCAGAAATTGGGGCCAGAAGTAGAAATGAGAAGTGACTCTAAATAAACATGGGGCCTGTTTTTAGAGTAATTAAATGTTCTTAAAATTTGAGGTAATGGTTGCTCAACTCTATAAATATACTAAAATCTGCTACATTTTAAAAGTATGAATCTTATGGGAGGTGATTTATGTGTCTCAATAAAGCTATCATTAAAATGAAGATAGTTTAATAGCAGTTGCTTACTTTCTTCCAGTACAATAAACATCTTTTCTGTGCCTTGAAGAGCTGGCATACCCATTTAAGTTTGGATCCATTTCTAGCATGTAACTTACCACTTTCCTCATTTATGTCAACAACTTTGTTTCACTAAGTTTTTATACCTCTGTATATAATGAATGTTCAGCATTGGCATTATTAACATTACAACCATAGTTCCACAGTCAGTTTTGTTCTACAACTCTGTTCTTTTTTTTTTCACTTCCAACATTATTACTTTTTTTTTTTTTTTTTTGGGGGGGGCAATACTGGGGATTGAAGAAACACTGTACCTCTGAGCTAGAGGTCTTTTTGCTATCTTATTTTGAGACTATGTTGCCAAAACTAGCCTAGAACTTTCCATCCTCCTCTGTCACCCTCCCTGGAATTACAGGCATTTGCCACTGCACCCAGCAACATTATTACTTGTTAATTTTCTAATGTATTTTTATCATCTTTGTTGGCCAAGTGCCTTTTGATTACCCATTTATGTAAAATATGTGGTTTTATCACTATAATGCAAGGATGCCAGCAAAAACAATACACTTTGCTCTCTACTGGGTGAACTGAATAAACAAATGACTGATAGATTTTTAATAAAGTATTGTGTTTGTTAGCTGATGTTATGTTTCTGCTAAGTTTTGTTTGTTTGTATTTTGAGTGCTGGAGATCAAGCCCAGGGCCATGAATATGCTAGGTGAGCTCTCTACCACTGAGCTACACACCCAGGCCTGTGCTTCTGTTATTTTTGTCATAACTTATGGATTGAGGAATTAGAAGTGAAGTTTTGTACTTTATGCAAGTACATTTATTATATAGTAGCAACTGAGGTTGAGCTATGTTGTTTAGAACTGATGGTAAAACTATTCTGTAAAATTTGTGAAGACTGAAGTTGTATAAAGCAAGGACTACCCTCACTATCCTATTTTTTTCTAAGAGTCAAGGGAAAAAAGAAAAATTTTTATTAAAGTATCTAAGACAGGTTTCTGTTAAATTTTTTTCTGGTAATATATTAGATTATATACATTTGTCTCTTCTGTCTTTGGTTTTTCTAGGAAGTTGGTATGCCAGCAGATTATGTAAACAAACTTGCTAGAATGTTTCAGGACATAAAAGTATCTGAAGATTTGAACCAAGCTTTTAAGGAAATGCACAAAAATAATAAATTGGCTTTACCAGGTATTTTACTTTATAATTACATATGTGTGTATATGTTTTAAGCTTTATTTATTTATTTATTGTAGTTGTAGATGGACAGAACGCCTTTATTTATTCTTCTTTATGTGGTGCTAAGGATCGAATCCAGTGTCTCACACACACTAGGCAAGCACTCTGCCACTGAGCCATAGCCCCAGCCCTATTTTAAACTTTTAAAAAAGAATATCTGTGTTTCTGGTAATTAAAGTTAAATAGCAGTAATAGACCCAGAAATGTTATGACGTTCACATTCCTGGAGACATCTGTCAAAGCAGAATGGTAGATTTGTGAATCCAGCTTTTGAAACAAAAGAATATTTTTAACAAAATCTTTAGAGTCATGTTTATTTTTTACTAGAATTTAACCTGTATTATTTTAAATTTTATTTTATTTTGTAAATTTTATCTATTCTCAAGATTGTTTTATATTTTCTGATATTCTGCCCTTTAGCTGATTCAGTTAATATAAAAATTCTGAATGCTGGTGCCTGGTCAAGAAGCTCTGAAAAAGTCTTTGTCTCACTTCCTACTGAACTGGAGGATTTGATACCTGAAGTAGAAGAATTTTACAAAAAAAATCATAGTGGTAGAAAACTACATTGGCATCATCTCATGTCAAATGGAATTGTAAGTTATGATATAGTTTTCTCTTTGGGTGAAAGTGGAAGAACTCCAAATAAGAGTTACTTAAACAAAACAGATTTTCTGCTTCTCTCACAGATAAAAATTTTCACAGGAATAGTGGATCTATTCCATGAAATTGTTAGTAACTTAGTCTTCTGATGGCACCATCATGCTTCTGGTATTGCTCTTATCAGCAGAACCCAGTATGATCCCCACTTTGTATATCTTCCTACCAACAAAAAAGAAAGGAGAAGGTGTACTTTCATTTAAGGGTGACTTCTAGAAGTTTCCTCCATCATTTCCACTTGTATCGCATTGAACAGAACTCAGTCACATGGCCATTATCTGTTATAGGAAAAGCCAGAAGATGAGTCATTAAACTTTGCTTAAAATTACATAGCCTGTAAGAAAGGAATAATGGATATTGGAAGACACCAAACAGTATTTTCACATAAAATCTCATGTAACAGATGTTYTATTAGGTAGATGGTAATCATTATGAAGAGCTTCTTATTGAAATTTATCTTATCTATTATAGATAACATTTAAGAATGAAGTTGGTCAATATGATTTGGAGGTTACCACGTTTCAGCTGGCTGTGTTGTTTGCATGGAACCAAAGACCCAGAGAGAAAATCAGCTTTGAAAATCTAAAACTTGCAACTGAACTCCCTGATGCTGAACTTAGAAGGACTTTATGGGTTGGTTTATTTATTTTGTTTATCAAATTATATTATGGAGGGCTGGGGATGTGGCTCAAGCGGTATCGTCGYGATCGCCTGGCATGCGTGCGGCCCGGGTTCGATCCTCAGCACCACATAAAAACAAAGATGTTGTGTCCGCCGAAAATTTAAAAATAAATATTAAAAAAAAAATTCTCTCTCTCTTTAAAAAAAAAAAATATACTCTGGAAATTTGTGATTATTTTTGTTGGTRGTGGTTTTTTTGTTTTGTTTTTGTTTTTTGGTGATGGTGCTGATCAAATCCAAGGCCTCCCACATGCCAGGCACACACCCTACCACTGAGCTAACCCTGACCCTTATGAATTTTTAAATTTATAACACTCTCAAAATGACATTTAACCAAGAAAAATACAAAAATGAGGTATTCTGGAAAAAAGAAATTGAAAAGAGGCAAGTTACCAAGACAGAACGGCAAAAAAAGGAGAAAGATTGAATTGGTATTTTTTGCCTGTGGGAGTCTTCCCAAAGACATACATATATTAATGTTAATTTTTATACCAAGAGTTGTATACAAAGAATTTATGATGACTAAATATCTAAGAGAACACTTTAGATCTTTTCAGAATTTATAAAATTTTCTCTTTAGCTTTTTACTTTGTAACTACTTTCTGTCCTTACTCCATAAGCAACTTAAAGTTTCAGAGTAATTATTTCCTATGATGGAAAGAGCTGGTATATAACTGTCAAGTGGTATTTGCTACTGTCCTATGTGACCAATTCTAATTTTTTATTTTCCCATAAAGGGAATATTTATTTCTTCCTTATAACCACCTCTTTTTTCCTGTTTTTCTGCTTCATACATTTAAATTGTTATATTCACAGAGATACCAAATACAAGTTTGGATTGTAAATTTGTGTCTATAATCCTTTCTTATTTATATTGGTTGTGTTGGGGAATTGATCTTAATATCCCATACTGCTTATAAATACTAATTGTTTTCTCCTTTATTCTTCATAGTCTTTAGTAGCTTTCCCAAAGCTCAAACGGCAAGTTTTATTGTACGAACCYCAAGTGAATTCACCCAAAGACTTTACAGAAGGTACCCTCTTCTCAGTGAACCAGGAGTTCAGTTTAATGTAAGGTTTATGTTGGTCAATTTAAAATAAAAATGCCTTGTTTGAGTTTTAGTTTGTTATTTTTTTTAAGCAAAATAACTTTTATTTGCATGATATTTATAACAATAACTATATATTACCATCAATCTAAATTTAATGTCATTTAGTTTTTTATTAAAACTATTAGGGGGCCAGAGGGCTCAGGAGGATCTGGAAAAAAAAATATATTAATGAACTGTAAAGATGTTTACTTCTTTACCATATTTATATGGACACATTTTTGCTGTCTGACATTATACTATATTCATCTTAAAAGTAAACTTTTTYGTGTGCTCTAAAGCAATTTTATCTAGACAGAGCATTTTTCCCTGAAGATCAATTAGGTAATGTTGAATCACAACCCATGTCTGTTCAATTATCTAATTATTTTTATGGCAGTATAAATTATCAAACTTGTTATAAGAAATCATTGAGAAGAATAGGGTTTGTTTTAAATAAAGGTATATGTTATTTGTTATTTCTCCTTTATATAGTTCTAGATTTCAATTTTTAGAATATTTCTAAATCTTTTCTCTCAGATATTGTTGCTATAATACAGCATTTGAAAMCCCTTTCACTGAGCAGTGTTTTTTACAGAAAAAATGCAAAAGTTCAGAAAAGAGGAAAAATCAACTTGATTGGACGCTTGCAGCTCACTACAGAAAGGATGAGAGAAGAAGAGAATGAAGGAATAGTGCAACTAAGAATATTAAGAACCCAGGTTTGTGATATTATGATAAAACATGTAAATTAAGTCTTGGGGTAGTTTATTTAAATCTTCAAACTAGAGKGGTTAACAGTACACACCTGTAATCTCTACTAGTTGGAGTCTGAGACGAGGATCATAAATTTAAGGTCAGATCATAAATTTAAGACCTTGTCTCCAGATAAAAAATTCAAAAGGCTAGGAGTGTAGCTCAGTGGTAAAACATCGCTGGGTTCAATCCCCAGTGCCAGGGGACATTTTTATTTATTCAGAATATGATACTTTTGAACATGATAAATAATACCCATTTTGGAGCTGGGGTTGTGGCTCAGCAGTAGAGCGCTCACCTAGCACATGCAAGGCACTGGGTTTGATCCTCAGCACCACATAAAAATAAACAAATGAAATAAAGGTATCCAACTACAACTAAAAAATAAGGATTTCAATTTTTTTTAAATAAAAATATTGTATTCAAAAAAATACCCATTTTAAACTAACATAAAAAAAAATATTGTATTCAAAAAAATACCCATTTTAAACTAACATGATAATTTTAACTTTGAAATATTTTTTAAAGCCAAATTGTTCCACGTTTATTATTTTTTATTTAAAATTATTGAAATCTTCTGGTCAGTGTAATAAAATGTGAAGCAAGAGGAAGAATTACTTGTAGATCATATAATATGATCTAATTACTTATAGATCATATAATATGACAAAGTAGCACAGAAAAACAATGAATTAAAAGACTCAATTGGCTGGGTGCAGTGGTGCACAACTGACTATAAGGTTGGTTGAATCTGTGGATGTGGAACCTATAGACACAAAGGGCCAAATGTATTTCTTCTTTTTTCTCTTTTCACATTTCCTTTTTTTTTTTATTATTAGTTATTCAAAACATTACAAAGCTCTTGACATATCATATTTCATACATTTGATTCAAGCAGCTTATGAACTCCCATTTTTACCCCGTATCACATTTCCTTTATAACAAATTCTAATCTCCACAAAGGTGGTAGATAAGATGCTTATACTGGAAAAGGTAAAAGGGAAAGAATATTTAATAATTTTCAGATAACATTTAATAACGAGCTTAATAATAATTAAAGAAATTGCCAAGAAAAATATTGATGAGGGAGGGGGAGTGAGAATAGGAAAAATAGTAGAATGAATCAGACATAACTTTCCTGTGTTCATATATGAATACACAACCAGTGTAACTCCACATTATGTACAACCTCAAGAATGGGAAGTTATACTACATGTATGTATAATATGTCAAAATACACTCTATTGTTATACATCTAAAAAGAACAAATAAAAACAAAATWAAAAATATTGATGAAATTTACYTATATGAAAAAATACTTATTTTTACATGAACATAAAAAACATGTACTTGCCACAAAAGAAAATGATGAAAGAGGAAATAGAGTGGCTTTTAGAGCACAAATACATCAGAAGAGATGAAGTTCAACYGTTCATATACATGCCACAATTTTGAATATCATGGACACTATTAACCCAAATTTTGGAGTGCTTGAGCAGAAAGTTACCAGTTAGAGCTAGAGAAAGGAAAGCTAAAACATTTAATGGAATTAATTCAAATTAAAAGTAATATTTATAACAAATGTAGCTTATTAATTAGGTAAATATTTTATAAAGAATAGTACTTACTGATTTTATAACAGTACTATCA